AAAAATCACAAAACATTCCAATTTTCAAAATCATCCTTCTGAATTAACAACACACACCAAACCACCAAGGATCGACTTATCCTAGAATGCTTGCCACGAAGTTACGAAAATTCACGCAGTTAAATTTACGAAAAAAAAAAAAAAAATAGTCCACAAGGAAAAGAACACCATTTAGGACTAACCGTGTGCATCGACGGCGCATCTTGGCGGCAGACAGATCCCCGTGTCCACCGGGACGTCTCGTCGGAATGGATCTCCTTTATCCCGTGGTAAATACACGCGGGGGTTCCCTCGTCGATCGACGTTCCAAGACACTGATTCCCGGGGTCCTCGCGGAAGGACGCGCGCGTGCAACTCACGAGAGAAAACTGACCGAAAGAAGCGCGGAACACTGGGAAAGAGGTAGCTCGAGCGAGAGCGATGGAGATGGAGACAGAATGAGAGAGAAGGGGACAGAGGCAGATGGACGAAGACGGTGAGACGGTTGATGGCAGAGGACCGAAGAGTGAAGGAGGGACGCAAAAGTAGCGAGAGGGTGGAGAACCGAAAGAGAAGAGAAAGAACGATGGTAGGATGGCCTGGTGAGGACTTGTTACTCATTCATACTCAAACGCCCCCGCAAATTGCAGGCCACTACCATCGTCGTCTCCGATGCTCCTCTTTCACGCTCGAATTCCGACCAATGCTGCTTGATTAACGAATTTCGCGGCACTTCGTCTCTTGATCCCCGAACCATTTTATTAATCCGAAGGGAACACGACGCGGGGATGGACTTGTGTGAAAATCTTCCCTCCGGAAGTCTCTAAGGAACTCTTTGACTTACCCTGGAACCGCCTTTGGGTCTTCTGTTTGATTTTAGATCTTTGTTTGATCCGGAGGGATGCTGCCTTAATGGCGGGTGGTTTGGATATTGGTAATATAACGATGGGTTTTTGGTTGGGCGAAGATATTATTTTAGTGTTAATGAAAAGGCACTTACAGATGGGCGACACTGATTTTGTGCGCTCATTAGACTGCGGAAGCTTGTGCAAATTCACAATTTACGACAGGAATAGCTGGAAATTAAAATGGGATAGAATTTTGAATTCAGCACTAGGGGCTTTTTCGCGTTAATAATTAGACTGGCAATGTTAATGCAAAATCAAGATTTTAGATACTGATACATACAAACGGAGCAGACTTTGAATTCTGTAGTAGTGGCTTTACTACGTTAATAATAACACACAGATTGCATAAACATCGTCAGTTTAATAATAATACATAGATACAATGAAACTTTATTAAAACCTATTGTTACTTGTATTTTTTCCGTGTTAAGGGACACTATAAAATCCATAAACATCCGCAATCTACTCGTCATACGTGAAGGGTGTATTGATTTAAGCAGGCAGTGAAATGATCGAAAGAACATTGTAACCGTATACATTACCGCGGCTGTTACTCGCGTTCCATGAAATCAGCGCACACGATTAGTGCACGATCGTTTGTTAATTAACGGCCGGCGTGGTCGCATGAACAATACACGTCAAATACGCGGATTCGATTACGACAGGTCGGACAATGCGTTCGGATAGATGTGCTCGATCCGTGCCCAATACACGCCTTTCGTTAATCCACGTTTCGTTTTGTTAATTACGCGTGATTACTGGATCATGGCGATCGGAATAATTAGAACGACGCCTGGCACAGGTGTGCCGCAAGTAATTCCGTTTCGTGGATTAATTACAACTCGTGCGAAACGGTAATCCAGAGAAGTTGTTGGTGAAGGTAACCTACTGCTCTCGTTTTTAATTAAAAACGAGGCTGTAGTTCATGTTAGATTTTTCAGTTTTTAACTTTACGTATGTAATGAATTTAGAAGTATTTTCTGTGAAAATCGTGGGATTTATTAATCTGAAATGTACACCGAAGGCTAAGTAGATCTTCATGCAAATATCAACGTTTAAAGATTTATTTGTGGAAATCAGAAACATACACAAACTTCTGTACTTCATCGAAGATTCTACCAAATCTCACATAAAAAGAAAACCATAGATACTAAAACATATTGAACTTCCTAATATAATGAATTTTAAACAATCTATAATTCTATAAATGCATAAAATCCGCAGACTTTTAATTTAAATATCATTCTCGCGATGCATTTTCTTTTTTAAAAGATAACAAGCCCAATTGAACATAAATAAGCCGTTAATATTCTTGCGACGTATTATATTTAATTCCATTTATTTACCGCCGAATCCAGGCTAATCGTCGGGGAATCGATATTCGTCACTAGTATCTCGTTAAGTCCCCCCCGGCTAGGTACCACCTGTTATGTGGTCCGCGAAATTTCGGAATCCAGGATTATCAGCGATTCTACCTGTCGCGAATAAGCCACGTGTCGCGATTCGAATCCCACTGACCACCCCCAAACCCGCGCGATCACATTGACGAATTCGCCCCCGATGACAAATCACACTGCACGTGCGACTAACTGATAACGCCGCCGTTCGAGTTCCCTTCCATTCCAGACGTACCCCGAAAGCCGCCGGTGGCTGATTAGCAGTTAACGATGAACCCGGTTAATTGGCGCGCACGGATTGGTCAGCCCCATCGGCAGGGACATTGTCGTGATCGCGGCATTTCATTTCATTGATCATCGATCGCGTCGTGTTTTGGTCGACCACTGGGTTACCAGGTTCGAAAAGTCACCTGTGGCCGGAATGATCCAGTTTGTCGATGGAATATTCGTATATAGGTGCATATCAACTTTATGTCTCATCGGAATCAATATCCGTAATGGAATATAATTAAATAAAATAAATTTCGTTGAAATCCGTAGATAATTAAAAGAATAAATAAAAAATGAACTCGGATAAATTTTATCAGAGAATTTCCATTTTTGTAACCAATAATTATAAATTAAAATATGTTGGTAATCAATAATTACAGATTACACAAAATTACTCTCTATGTGGTTAAGGAAGGTGGTATAGAGGAAGTTTGAGCAACGAGGAGAACGGAGAGTCAAATAGGTGAAGTGTTGAGACCAGTTTCTGCGCCTGGTCCCGTTCAAAAAATTTTATATCAATATTATTGCAAGTGTGTAAGATTTTTTTTCTTAGGCTAATCGAAATTATTTTAGGCGTTGAAGAAAGAAAATAGAGAAAGAGAGAAATATTTTTTCTGTAAACAGCGTTCTAGTAAGGTGATGCTACTAAACGCGGATCAAGGTTGACGAACCTGGACTCGTCGATTGGAGTATTGTCAGACTATGACTACTAGATGTACTATAGTGCGTTAAAAATTAAAAAAAAAAACTATTAAAAATACCTGAAACATAATATAAACAAAATGTTGAATGATACATTTCTCTATTTCGCAAAGAAGTCGATTTTTTGTATAACGAAGCAAGATAAAAGAGCATTTAATCCCGTGACATTATCCAAACCATTGACAGAACGAAATATTGTACCAATTCTCTATCGTGTCTGGGTTTTCATACGCGGAAACGAAGTGTTTAGAACCGCCGATGTCGTACGGCTAGAATGTGTATACATCGAAAGAGAAATTGGTCGTGATCAAATAAACAAACATTTCTAAAAGGGTACCTTTAAACAAACGTGATTTGAGTTCAACGCTTATAACTTTGTTAAACCCTTCTAATTTCGGTACTTCTCATTAAAATTAAATTTCTCCGTGCTATCTAATTGATTTCGACATTTGTATTAAACATAAATGAAAATTCTATTCAATACTTCGTCCATATGAAAGAATCAAAATCGTTTGAAAAAACAGTTATGCCCTGCCTAAAATTTTATTTATGGTCTAAAATAGTGTGAAAACAAGAATTGGGACATAAAGGGTTAAATCCACGTGTTAAAAGAAAATGAAAGAAAATGAATCCCCAACATGGCTCATTAATTAGATTTCTATTTGTGATAGAATCTGAAATACATTATTCATGCCACATGAGTTAGTTATATTAATAATTACAAAATACTTGAAATTTCATAGACGACGACTGATATTTCCTTGTTCGAAGCTTGTACCTATATACTCATAAAACATAAGTTACTTCAATGTGTAGACTTCCTCTCTGAGTTTATTTCCGTGCGCGCATGAATCAGCCCGCGCACTATTTTCAAAATGAAATCTCTGGCAACGCTAAATCGAGTCGTTATCAGACCGTTGGGTCACTTTTTCCAAAGGAAGGACACGTGTCCTGTTGCGCAGCGAGAGGGGTGGGCGTCAAAGGAAGCAGCTAGTGACCTCGAGAATCGTCGTTTCTATTTAGGACACTCGATAGACGATAACCATGCTCCAGGATGCGGCCTGATAGAAAGCCGGCGCGTGCGATTTAATTCCATTGAGATAGTTGGCCATTCATACCCACGACACAGTTCGTTCTCGTGTCTACATGTAGAAGCCGAGCCATGGGAAACAATTTATATTCATTCTTCACCACCCCCCTGATCTCGATCAAAATGAATTTTCCAACACATTTTGGAAACCATCTATTTCGACCGCTCGACCGATCGAAATACATACTGGGATATCAATAATAGCTCACAGACGCAGAAATTCCTATCTCCGTTTGTGAATACGCTCCAGGAAGCAGAAATCAACGGGACATCGGGGCGAAGTGCTTTATCTTCGCCGCAGGTTTAATTAATTTAAAGCTGATTAGGGACGTTTTCGGTTCGTTAATATAATTGGGTCATTAGATAACGGTTTCGAAACCGTGGCTGCCTTCCGAAGTGGGCTCCGAAACGGATGAACGGCGCGCAGCGATTGCACGCGAGAAAGGAAAGAAGCAGAGAGAAAAAAAAGAAGAGAGAAGATCGTTATTGTTTGACAGGCAACGGAGAGATACGCGTTATAAAACGATGACGGCACGAGTGAGGGTTACGTCGGCTTGATAACGAAGATTCTGAATTTCGTTGATAGAACCGCGTTTCCGTTCGTGAATCGGAAATGTTCGCCATGCGACGTGGAAATTAAGACTGAACGACAAAATGGCGTACAGCTATAATATCGAAGAGGTGCCGCCGGACGACATGCCTTGCGTCGAGCACGACATACGACGCGCCAAAAAATTCCTCCAGAAGCATAGTCCAGAGTCGGGTGATAGCTTGTAAGTCTGCGAAATTGTGATAAGAAAGTCGAGATGTTGTAGAGTATTAAAAGTGCAGTAATGTCTCGATGAGTGCGACAAACTCGGGTCCGTTTCGGAGCATTCGTGGCAAGGAGGAGAGGATTTCACCCTCTCATCAATTTTTTTCCGCATGAAGCTCTGCTTAGCTTCGGGTTATTCTATTTTTATTGGTTCCAGAAGGAACCCCCCCAGTTGTGAGAATAACGCCGTTGTTCGTGTCGCATTCATCGGGAAGGGGAAGGAATCACTGTATAACCAATCAATTCGTAGTCCAGAGAATGTTAAACAGATGTTGTAGTTCCGAAGACATGAAACTTCCCGTTGCCGATACGTACAGAAACAGACAGAGAGATAATTTATTTAATTATTGGTAAATCGATCTCCAGTTCGGTTGCCAAAGGGTCTCCGAAACGCTTTGAAGCTCATCGCGTTCTAGAAAAGTCATTCACGGGGTAACTTCAGGGCGTCGTTAACGCGGCCGTCAAAGCGGAAACGTAGCGGAGTGGTAACTTTCTACTCCGATACTCGATTTAATTAAACACGAGCAGACAAATCCTGATAACTAAGTATCAAAGAACTCATCGAACCGATTTCCGTCGCGCCGGCCTTTGTACGGTCTCGGCGAGGTACGGGTCAATGAAGCGATACCAATCGAATAACTAGTCGTTTCTTCGGCCCAAAGTGTCGATCGTAGCGTTTTAGACTACTCCGTTGCTAAACATTGATCTTTAAGATCCTCACGAGTTTTGTTTCACTCTATTGATTCTTGACACTGTATAGATACGATCACTTGATCGAAGTACTGGCGAAGATTCTCGCGGAGAAGCCGAGAAACGCTGCCGACATTTTCGAGGAATACAGCAGGAAAGTGAAGGAGGAGAGGTTTAAAACGGGAACGAATCATCTTCGAGATTTGCACGTTCCGCCGGCGCAATATGAAAACGCGAAGAAGCTCATCAAACTGTTCAAGGTGCGTTTAAAATGAATTCTGTGAATTAATTGACGCATAAATAACACATCGGGCGCAGGAAATTCAATCTTTTCTCCGTTTCGTGTCCTCGGCATCATATTGGAATCGTAGGATGTTCAGCAGATCGATGAAGAGGATCAGGGTGGGCTGGAGGAGGAGGAAGAGGACGAAGGAAAGAAGAAGAAACTGAACATGCTGGACCTATTGTTCTACTTCGAACAGACTGACGTAGGATTGCCTCGCGGTGAAATGGTGGTGCTTAATTTATCTCTACGGAAACTTTTGGTCAATGCTCGTATAGAGAACATCAGGTGATACGAATTAAAATCCAAACTTGTTTTTATATAAATCGGTTTTTAAATGGATTTCTTACTTTTGAAGGTTTTGGGGGAAGATCTTTGGAAATCCAAAGAATTACTATGTAGTAGAAGCTGATCTTCAGGCAGAAGAGTTGGACAAGAGATTAGAGGTACGCGCAACATTCCGAATGCTTAATTACATTTTACATTGTCAAAAGAATCTTACAATTCTCAACGATTGATCAACAGAGAATCTATATTTCACAGAACTCCGAGACGAGGGATAGTCTATTTTCTCTTGTAAAGCTTTCATTAAAGTACAAAGAAGGCAAAAAATTCATTAAACTTTAGTAAAGGTCCCGTTTTATTGGGTTTCCTCGAGCCATTAAACGTGGCCAAGGAATAAGCAAGAATTAATTATATGTAGAAATTAACGGCCGAAGACGAGAAGAAACGTCAGGCGGAACAAGTGAAAGCGGAAGAAGTTGTGAGAGCCGCGCAAGAAGCAGCTGCCAGAGCAGAAAGAGAAGCTACGGAGGATGCGGGGGAAGAAGAAACGGAGAAGGAGGAAAAAGAGGAAGAGGGTTTGAAGCTCGTGTTTCCACCCCTGCCCACGTCTTCGTGGAAGCCGCCGCCGGAAGTACCCCGGGAAAACATAGGAACTGGTGTGAACACCAAGGTAGAATTATATTTAAACAGCTCACTTTGGAGCTCGGCAAGCAAATCGAAAATATCATACGGAGTTCATTAATCTTTAAGATTATCTCTACATAATCCAATTGCCATGGAATATAAATACACTGGGTCTCAAGATATAATACTTCAGAGATTTAAATATATCGTTATCCAAACGAAGGAATGTTGTATTAAGAATTGAAGATATTCATTCAAGAATATCATGGGTATCTTTCATTTTAAATTTCCTTTAATCCGACCTCCCAATAATTGAAGGTCCCCAGGTGTAATGCTGGCTTTTTAATTAGGTTTAGCACAGTGATGGTGCTTGTAATTCTGAAGCCAATGATATTTGTTTTAGCCGCACATGGCCATTAGGTTATGAAATATTTAATGTCCAGTGCCGAGGAGCCTTCGAACACTCATCGACGATTTATTATATATGCTTCCCATTTAGCTTCGATCAACGAAACTTCACGGTATAATCATCTTTAACACGTTCAGTGCAAGGTCGACATATGTATCAAGGAGAACTTGCTTTTGAGTGACGAAGTCGATACATATATCGAGTGGTCTTTTACGTTTACTGATTAAATAGTAAATTTGCAATCATTTTGAAGTAAAACTAACCACAAAAGAAATTCAATAAATTTACATTATTAGAGTTGGAGTTGTAATAATTCATCTGCATTGAACGTGTTAAGCGAACTCGCCGAAGTCGTATGAAGTCGCCAAGGTGGCCGCGACGTTTCCTTAAATATTTATAGTTATAACCTATTTTTTCACAAGTATCGTATCTGTTGAAAACAAGGTCCGTCTACATGGTACCGGGCGTCAAAATATACACCGGCCCGGTGGTATTAATATGCAATGCAAAACACGAGAGGTGAGTTTTTCACGATCCATCCAGGTCACACCTTGTTCCAGGTGTATTTTGTATGCAACGAGCCTGGCTTGGACAAGTGGATCGAACTTCCACCGGTTACGCCGCAGCAGATACTAATCGGGCGACAGATTGTCCGGTGTTGTACGGGAAATTTGGATACGCCGGTACGTGGGGTGGCGGGTGGGGCGGCCGAATATCGCGCCGTTTCCGCGGCGGTGTGCACACAGCCGAAATAGGTGAAACGAAACCGTTTTTCCGCCTCGTAGATTCACACGTTCCCACCGTTTCCTGGGACCGAAAGAAATTATCTCCGGGCGCAAATAGCCAGGATTAGCGCGGCCACTTTGGTCTCGCCGATTGGCTTTTTCACTTTCGGCGGCGAGGACGAGGAGGAGGAGCTGACCGAGGAAGCGGAAGAGGGTAATTTTTCACCGTCACTTTTCAGCGACCGTTTATTAAGCTCGCTGGGACTGCGATTCTCAAAATTATAATTCAAAGAAACCGCGTTCGAAGCGCCAAGGATTCAGAAAAATTGGGAATTAGATGTTTTCTTTTGTAATCGGAGGGGTGGAGAAATAGGAATAGTTTGCACCAAGCAAGAATAGAATTTGGGGCCTGTTGTCTGTACAAAGTCAATTGTTCAATTATCTATGAGTAAATCATGCTTGTTTCACGTTACACAGGTGGAACGTTATCAGAGAACCCGCATTACGATCCTCTACCCATTAAGGACTTAGTGGACCCTTCTATGTCCAATTGGTGTCATCATGCGCAATATATTTTGAAACAGGGTCGTACAGTTTGGTGGGATCCAGGGAAAGGAGACGATGAAGTTGGTTGAAACTCATTTGCTCGAGTAAAAGAGATAGTTAATCATGTATCATTTATGAACTCATTGAATATTAGGAAGATGTGGGCGAGGAAGAAGGATTCGACGAAGAAGAGGAAGAACAGCCCGGTAAGAGTCAAAAGGAAGTCGGACCACCCCTTTTGACACCCCTATCAGAGGACGCTATTGTCGATAAGATAATACCCTGGACAGCGACACAGTCGTCCCGCGTAATGCCAGAATTGTCGGTGGCGTTGATCAAATCGAACATTTGGCCAGGAGCATTTGCCTTCGCCTGCGGAAGGTGCGTGCACTACGTGCCCGTGTTCAATAATGATTTTCCATTAAGTAGAAGTATCTCTGATATTTATGCGTCCGGCCGGCTATAAATTCTCTCGGAATATCGAAGAAACAGGTCGATCACCCCCCTCCCTTTATCACGGGACGAATCGGCTGGGAAAAGAGAAATTATGGTCGCGTTAAAGGGAAATTAATGCGCGGGAAATTACGCTAATGTTAGTTTAATGGTGCTGGTCCGCAGACGTTTTGCCAACGTGTACATCGGCTGGGGCCACAAATACAACGCGTACAACTACAGCCCGCCGTCCATGCCACCGGTGCAGGACGAGTACAAAATAGGCCCGGAGATCATGGAGATTCAGGATCCTACTTTCGAACAGGAGGAGGCCTATCGGATCGCTCATTTACCACCTCCGCCGCCTATTGCAATGGGTAAGAACAATATCAATAGCATTTTCTAACGACAAGTCAATCCTGAAGTGTAAGTTAAAACGATGTGTCGTAATTTTCGAAATGTCTCAAAAACTGAGTCTGATGGTAAATTTATCTCTGGTTTACTTTGTAGAAAATAAGTTGATTTATATTTACAGGAGAAGAGGCAGAAGAAGAAGAAGTTGAAGAAGAAGAGGAGGAGGAAGACGATGATGAATGATAAAGGTACCTAGCTTATCGGTTGCGTGAGGATCTATAGCAGTCGATAAAACAGATGTTGGTAATATGTAGTGTTCAGTTTTCTTGAATGATTTGGTGGTTGTTGGTACAGTATTTTTTTAAAAACTAGATATATTTCATATCTTAAGCAACGTACAAATGTTTAGTTAGCTTAAGATTAATGATACAAAATGTGAGACCTGTAGAGGAGAATTAATGATTTATAATAATTTTATACTTATTACAAACTGTATGAGAAAAGTAATAAAGAAGTTTCATTTTAATGTGTTTAATAAGTAATTCATGAAATATAAAAAAAATTCAGTTCGAATTTGAACCTGAAAATTTGTTTGGTATGTCCCCTATCGGTAAGGATGTACAACGGGTTCTAGGGAATTACTTATTTCGTGCGTTTCTGTACTTGAATCATTTATGTTCATGATGCACGTGCTTTAATGTTTGTAATATTATAACCTTCAAAAGAGGCGGTTCCCGCCAATCATTCTTACATACCATACGTTAAATTAATGAAAGAAAACATGACTGAAGAAATGGCAGAAAATGAAGTTTTATTAAGGCCAATGAATTGTGAATTGAATCAATTGTCTATGCCTGATGGGTCTGCAATGTTGATGCAGGGTAAGCTAATTTCATCTACTATTGTTTATCTAAGTAACTACAGAACTTCGTTGATTATGACTGTCTTATATTTCAGGTGATACTGCAGTTGTTGCTGGTGTCTATGGACCAATTGAAGCGAAATTACAGAAGATGATGTATGATAAGGCATATGTGGACGTGTCATATGTTCCCGTAAGAGGTCCAGCTAGTAAGTCAACTATAGTTTACATGAAAACTTTGTAATATTTTACTACTGAGATCATATGAAATGAGATATAATGAAATTTTTTAATTCCTTAAGAGATTGATGATCGAATGACAGAAATGTACATAAAAGAGACATGCGAAGCTGCAATAATGGTCACATTTCACCCAGCAACGTATATATGTATCAATGTGCAAGAATTAGAGGATTCTGGAGGGGTATGGTTTGTCTTTACATATTGTAGTATAAAAATGCTAGAATTTTATAATGATAAATACTATTACACTCTTCAGTTATTGGCCTGCACACTCAATGCTGCATGCTTAGCACTTATTAATGCCGGAATTCCAATGAAATTCACTATAGCAGCAGTTAGTTGCATGATAGAGGAAAACACTGGAAGTATCGTTTTAGATCCTGATAACACACAACTACAGGTATGTTTACTATTGTCTTAACTTCTTAGTTATCTATACGTATTTGTTAATGACAATAGTTTTCTAACTTATTATTTCTTTTATGCAGACAGCTAGAGCAGAATTCACATTTGGATTTGATAGTATGAAGAAAGATGTTGTGTGTTGTGATACTGCAGGCCGTTTCTCAGAAGCAGAATTTTATGAAGCAATGGATAAGTGCAAACAAGCTAGCCAACATGTATTTGATTTTTATAGAAATCTTGTAAAAAAGTATGCAAAAGTAATATAACAGATATCTTTTTTATGAAATGCGTTTTTCTCCTGTTTTCATTAATTTCTTTTTATATCGTAGCATTATCGCAATATATTACATTTATTAAGTGTTTATTCACTATACCCGCGATTTGAAATACCGCCATTTTATTGGCTAATTCGGCGGGATTAAATTTGAACAGAAATATAGTGGTGCCCTCTGTTCCTCGAATCAAGTTTGTTACGTGCGAATGTAAAGTGTGTGTCGCTCCCTATTTCTTATAAATTATCTCATTTATTCTGTGAAGTGATGAAGCATTGAAGACTTTCAAGATACTTTACAATGAATTGGAACGAGTACTCACCAAAGGCTGCATATTTTGGTAAGTAATTTTCATTTCTTTTCAAAATCCTCGCTAAGCGTTGTGGTATTTTTGACGCGTTGCTTTTGGACCGAAAGTACCTGCATATCTGCAACACAAAAGAAATCGATATTGTAGCAAATATAATAAAATGAGTATACTAATATTATAACTAAACAATAGCTGAATTTGTAGTACGAAAAGACTATTATATAATTGAGAATTATGTACATTTGCACCTATTGAAATTTGGAGAATAGGCGTGAAATCGTACAACCTTTCTCTCAAGACCAAATCAATATCTAACTGACAGAGTTAACAGTAGATAATGGTAGAAACAGATATAGAACAAGAGAGTTATTAGAATCAAAATGTTATGTAACAGGTAATGCGTATTTATTTTACTAACTTGATTTCGTCCTTTCCTACGGCCATTCAACGAATAACGACTCCTCGCTTTAACGGCGAGTCAGATGAATAGTGAGGGTGAGCAACTTTCGTTTTTAAACTTTCAATAGTTTGCAGACAACTGACTTGCGAATCCAGATGAATAAAACTATAAATACACACATACATATGTATGTACATGCGTTTGTGGATTATATAGTTAGTATTAATTATATTAATTTAATAAATAGTAATTTATGATTACTAAAAATTTTAAAAAAATAAAATGCCTATGATGTTCGCGACCTTTGCGTTGTGAGAACTGGATTAGTGCATATGAGCGCCATCTAAAATATGAAACCTTAATAGGAACTAAAATTCCAACATGGCGACCAAACACCGCTAAATTTGAATGCATCTACACCGTGCGTGTTTAAATGTGAAGTAAAAGCACCGACTAGGTATAGGATAGACCTATCATCTTATGGGACTTCGTGTCTCATGTTCTGAAATACCGATAGTGTAAAAAGTCAGGGATTTTCTGCTGCCCTCTA